AATGGTGGTTACAGGGAAGGGGAAGATAAGGGCAGATGTTAAACCCCCAAGGGAAATGAGTAGATACTCAAGTATCACTCCGATCTGGATGAAGGCGCTGACGCCTTCTCTGGATCACATCCCTTAGGTCTTGCCTACCTCCCTTTGACCCTCGATTCTTCCTACCCCTACCCGCAGGCGGGGAAGGAGCGCGAGTCGCGACACTAGCCTTCTGTGCTCGTCTCTGATCCTCAAACCGAGACGGTCCAGGACCCCTGGGTTGTTCAGGCTCAAACCTGGACCTTCGTGGAATGAAGGATTTGAAGGCCGCTGAGCGCGTCTTTGCCTCCCTGAAATTCTCGACCACCGTCTCAACGGAGGTACCAAAAAGTTCAGAGGGAGAATCTGGGGCATCGAGAAGAAAGCCCCTTTCTTTCCTCCTGATGACTGCCAGGTTCACCCACAGATGCCTCTCCGTCACTACCATAGCCGCCATGGACCTTTATCCAGGTCTTTCAGCAGGTCAGCCTGGTATGCCTGGAGCACCGCCATCGTGTGCAACGAAGCGACAGCCTGACCTGCTGCTGCGTATGCCCTGCCATTCAAGCGAGATGTAATCTGAAGGGGCTTGGATGGCAAGGAGGGAGTTTTGAGAGAAGATGTCTCTCCCATAGAGAGATAGCTGGCTAGCGTCTCTTCTACCGGGGGCATCCTCTCATAGCCATTTTCGCGCATCGCTCGATGTTGGCATAACTGGTATGCTTGAACCGATGGATGCATGAGGAAAACGGCCTCTTCCATTCCTTCTCAATCTCAGTATAGAGATCAGGAAGGAAAGGAAGGCTCACCTGAACTGGAGGGCTATGGCCAGAAAGATGACGTTCATCGACGTCACTTCCTTAGTCCGCTTCCACGGCAAGTCAAGCCTTGCTGTGGCGCGATCCATAACTTCCAAGAGCTCATCATACGCAGGGCAGGAGGATTGGGAAGGCTCAGCCTCAGCTTCTTCACCCTCCTCAGACATTTCCTGCTCTTCCTGGGCTGAACCCAGCAGAGCACTAGCCCCTGGATCAGAAGATGTTAAAGAAATAACATCATCCTCCAGCGGCTCATTCTCGTCCACAGCCGACGAGCGCGAGAGGGAAAGCCCCTCTTTAAACTCATCGGCCAGGTCCACATGCGATCCCCATGAGCTCATTCTCCTCCATGCCTCAGCAGTGGCAGGTCCTGAACTGCGGGAAGCAGATGGCTGCCCCTCTTTACTCGAAAAAAGAGACAAACGAGAACGGAGCTTTTTCATTGAAAAACGCTCGCAGTGCACGCAGATTGCCCCCTCGAGGACATCGTGTGCATGCTCTTTGCCCAAACAAACAACGCATAGATCTTGTGTGTCATCGGGTGTCAAATAGCGATGACACGGATGCACACATCTTCTAAACGCTTCGCTAGTGCTCACCATAATGAATGAAAGAGATCGCTCTTACCACGGAAATGCACGCTTCAAACAAAACAGTCAGTGAAGTAGAAGAAGAGGATGATGTGTTCTCCCGGCGCCTATTTATACTATAGTCGCACCGGTAGTGACGTCATGTCGCCAGCCAACGTGTTGTTGGTGTTTTTTCAATGTATGCTTCAGACACGGGTCACGACGAGGCGTTCCCCATAGCGACCCCTAGAGGACACAGTTCGAAGTTCCCATGAAAGGAAACTTTCAATTCTTAATGCACCTCTACAGGTCAAAAATACGGGAAAACACATATGTTCTAGATTTAGTCATTTCTTTATACTTCAAATATGACTTCTTTTTAAAGGTGTTATGTGATCAGGCCTGAATGTTGTTTTTGTGTGTTGTGTGAACAGATGAACATGCTCCTGCGTCTGAAAGAGGCGGCCAGCTGCTCCAGCCCGCAGAGCTACGACAGTGACTCCAATAGTAACAGTCACCATGATGACATCCTGGACTCTTCGCTGGAGTCCACGTTATGATCCAGCCTGATCCGTGAACTCTAATCAAGTCATTACATCACATCTACGGGTGCTTGACACCCACTTCATATATAAATATATAGAGAGAGAGAAATATATATGCGCCAAAACTCAACGGTACTTCAGTGTGATTTTTATTTTTATTTTACAACAACGAAATCAGAAGAAAGTGCTTTGTCCCCATTTTTACCTCAAAAGTAGAAGTGCGGTCACATTAGCTACATTTTATGGACAAAAAGGGTTCATTGTCTGTCGTCAATAATGTAGCGATGTGTGAAACAGAGCTCACACAAGTCACTTTCAAACCAAACGGTGAATCAGAGTAACCAACCTGCATCTGCTGCAAAATCTGCGTAGATCAATTTTCCACCATCACACGGAATTCCCGATTACATGGATTTCACATGCAAAAATTTGCCAAACTTCAGTAAATGTGACCGCACCTTAACTGTTGGAGATACTTTCGAACCCAATGCAATGCTCGTTTGTCTTACCCTCTACTGGTGAAATGGAGGAATTACATCCTAAACCTGAGACCATCTTGGTGTTTTCACTCAAAAGAACATTGACTTTCCCTGTAATGATGGACTTGTTCATGACTTTACAAAACCAGCTTGGTCGGATGCTGACCATCGTTTCATGTTTTACATGATAAGGATACGGATGAAATAGCATGGTGCTACACTTATGATTTTGGATTTATTTATTGTGATGATTGGAAAAAATACCTCGTTTGCAATCTGGGATGTGCTTTTGTTTGCCTTTCAGCATTTTTTTTTGTTACCACCCGTTCCTTAACTGCTGACCGCATGTTCCAGTGTTCTACTGTAGCACAAAGCCTCTCTATCTATTTTTTACACTAGATCTGTTTTTGGTGCTGAATAGAATTTGGTGCCTTACTCCATTTTGTAAAGAAAAAACGGCACTATGTTTTATACTTCTGAAAAATGCTGATTTTATTAACTACAGGGCTCTACGCTAGTCCTTTGAAATTGCCTAAAATAAACAGCCTCACACTCATCATATCATATCAGAGCAAAATGTGTGGTTTAGAAAAGAGGAAGTGGATAAAGGGAGCGGCAGGGCGACTGTAACCTCCATCTGTTTTGAAATTCACAATTTTTAAGGCAAAGTTGCTACACAGTTAAAGGGACATTTTACTTTCAAACATGTATGAGAAAAATTATGCTTTTTTATATGTGAAATATATATGATCTCTACTGGCGCAGGTCATCTTGAGGGGTTCAGCTGTAAGGCTTTGCTTGGTGCTTTAAGACCGTCTCGACACATCTTGGCTAAAGCACAGTGAGAAATTGTTAATAATTTGGTGTATGAGTATACCTCATTGACCATTTTGGCCTTTTTCGTGTACATATCTTGCATTCAATGTGAAAGAGTAAGAAACGTCCACATAGTCATTGGATTAATAATATACTGTATTTGCTGCTTTGTAATGCAAGGATGCTTCTGGAGGATTTGTACATAAGATTTTATCGTTGATTCTCTATAAGGAATATAATTTGGATGGACAGTGAGTTTCCTTGCATGGGAAAGCATAATATATGGAGCTCTTCAGTGGTTTCACCTTCTTTACGTTGTCAAATGCTGTTGGTATGGTGCTGCAGGGTTTTAGTTACACCGTTTCTTCCATTTCACTCCAGTGTATGATTCCTGTCAGTCATCGATCCTATGCAACATCATTGTGGATTTCAATGGAAGCCAAATATCGTAGCTCTGTAATGCTGTCAGCACTGCCAATACATTGTGTGTACACTGTGTATATAATTTGTGAATGATTTTAGGATATGTGCCTAATTTTCTTTGATTATGATGATGATGAAGTCATTTTAAGCACAAATGCTGTATGTGATTGTTGTAACTGAAATGGGAGGGCTATAACTGAATGGATTTCATGTCACTGAATGTGTACATCGTTTCTGGCTGTAATATATTAATGTAAATATTTGACTATCCTGCAGGCTGCATTTTGATGAATAATCTTTTTCTAGCCGTTTATAACAGTGCTTGGAAATATGGAATATTTTGTGTACAGTGTCTTTTTCATCTTAACAGTCCCACGGATGGTCTGTGAAACACAGGCAGCCCATAAAGATTTACTGATCACCTTACAGTTTTAAATTATTTGTAATTCAATAAACCTAATAATTATTTATTAGTTGTTTATTAGTTTGTTTTCATGACTTTATGCAAGCAGAATGATGACAAACATTATACAAAAAAATATATTCACAGCATTTTTATATCAGCATGTTCCATTCAATCATAACAATAACTAAAAAAAAAGAGTATTACAATAAAAAAAACTTACAATTAATTAATGATTTTAACTATTTAAAACACAACAACCAATTTTAGTTTTTAGTCTAATGTATGCATATTGACTAAAATATGATTCTTATGCTAATGTTTCAACCCTAAGCATGTACAATGAAATAAACATTTAGTAAGTGATATTTTGTTAGACTTTTTTGTTAGTATTGATAGACATCTATATTTACAGAACATCTGTCATTCTAAATTTTCTTAAGATACTTAGAATACAACAAATAAACAACACAGACTAGTGTACATGAATTATCTATACTTGCAAGAGTTTATATGAGCGTTGGGATCATTCTAATAAAGACTAGAAATAATGTTGATGTGTTTTCATGTTAAACAATTTCAATATGGTGAAATAAAACACACCTAAAATGAAGCTTTAAGTACTAACCAAATCACAGCACAATTAAAATAAATCTAAGGATCTAGAAAGCAGGTTAATGTACTGTATCTCAAAGTGTGAAACAGATAGAAGATGCAGCTTCAATTATGGTTGGTTTGACCTCTAATGGTGATGGTTGAGGTGATGAAGTCAAAATCTCCTGGATAGCTTCAATTCCAACTTGAGCAAATGCATAGTTAAATCTTTGCTTAAAGCAGCACTATGTAACTTTTCTGTGTTGCAAAATTTGTGTACCGCTATGGTACACTCATAATAAGTACTTATATTTGGACTATTGTAGCCTGGTCGGGTCGTCACCGCTGCGGAGTAACACATACTTGCGTGAATCGCATAGACATAAACTTAGAGAAGTAGCTCCGGTTGGAATGTTCTTCCACGGGATGCGTACAGTTCTGTTTATTAACCGCTAGAACGCCAAAAGTTACATAGTGCTGCTTTAATCATTTTCTTTGTTTTGCATATTTAGCAATTCCATACCAGCGATATGTATCTGTTGGGTTTCTTTCCAGACCATTTTCACCTAGAGAACGGAGCTTTTTCATTGAAAAACGCTCGCAGTGCACGCAGATTGCCCCCTCGAGGACATCGTGTGCATGCTCTTTGCCCAAACAAACAACGCATAGATCTTGTGTGTCATCGGGTGTCAAATAGCGATGACACGGATGCACACATCTTCTAAACGCTTCGCTAGTGCTCACCATAATGAATGAAAGAGATCGCTCTTACCACGGAAATGCACGCTTCAAACAAAACAGTCAGTGAAGTAGAAGAAGAGGATGATGTGTTCTCCCGGCGCCTATTTATACTATAGTCGCACCGGTAGTGACGTCATGTCGCCAGCCAACGTGTTGTTGGTGTTTTTTCAATGTATGCTTCAGACACGGGTCACGACGAGGCGTTCCCCATAGCGACCCCTAGAGGACACAGTTCGAAGTTCCCATGAAAGGAAACTTTCAATTCTTAATGCACCTCTACAGGTCAAAAATACGGGAAAACACATATGTTCTAGATTTAGTCATTTCTTTATACTTCAAATATGACTTCTTTTTAAAGGTGTTATGTGATCAGGCCTGAATGTTGTTTTTGTGTGTTGTGTGAACAGATGAACATGCTCCTGCGTCTGAAAGAGGCGGCCAGCTGCTCCAGCCCGCAGAGCTACGACAGTGACTCCAATAGTAACAGTCACCATGATGACATCCTGGACTCTTCGCTGGAGTCCACGTTATGATCCAGCCTGATCCGTGAACTCTAATCAAGTCATTACATCACATCTACGGGTGCTGGTAACCCACTTCATATATAAATATATATAGAGAGAGAAATATATATGCGCCAAAACTCAACGGTACTTCAGTGTGATTTTTATTTTTATTTTACAACAACGAAATCAGAAGAAAGTGCTTTGTCCCCATTTTTACCTCAAAAGTAGAAGTGCGGTCACATTAGCTACATTTTATGGACAAAAAGGGTTCATTGTCTGTCGTCAATAATGTAGCGATGTGTGAAACAGAGCTCACACAAGTCACTTTCAAACCAAACGGTGAATCAGAGTAACCAACCTGCATCTGCTGCAAAATCTGCGTAGATCAATTTTCCACCATCACACGGAATTCCCGATTACATGGATTTCACATGCAAAAATTTGCCAAACTTCAGTAAATGTGACCGCACCTTAACTGTTGGAGATACTTTCGAACCCAATGCAATGCTCGTTTGTCTTACCCTCTACTGGTGAAATGGAGGAATTACATCCTAAACCTGAGACCATCTTGGTGTTTTCACTCAAAAGAACATTGACTTTCCCTGTAATGATGGACTTGTTCATGACTTTACAAAACCAGCTTGGTCGGATGCTGACCATCGTTTCATGTTTTACATGATAAGGATACGGATGAAATAGCATGGTGCTACACTTATGATTTTGGATTTATTTATTGTGATGATTGGAAAAAATACCTCGTTTGCAATCTGGGATGTGCTTTTGTTTGCCTTTCAGCATTTTTTTTTGTTACCACCCGTTCCTTAACTGCTGACCGCATGTTCCAGTGTTCTACTGTAGCACAAAGCCTCTCTATCTATTTTTTACACTAGATCTGTTTTTGGTGCTGAATAGAATTTGGTGCCTTACTCCATTTTGTAAAGAAAAAACGGCACTATGTTTTATACTTCTGAAAAATGCTGATTTTATTAACTACAGGGCTCTACGCTAGTCCTTTGAAATTGCCTAAAATAAACAGCCTCACACTCATCATATCATATCAGAGCAAAATGTGTGGTTTAGAAAAGAGGAAGTGGATA